AAATGCCATTCAACAGCAGTAAGCGCAGTAATAGCTAACTGGAAGCATTGCACATTTCTTAAATTTTCGCAATTTCAATCGTGTGCTCAAACTTTTAAATTTTCAAATGTTTCATAAGTGGAAATTTCTCAAGATGACCACCAAAATTTTGTTGCAACGTTTGCAATATTCAGCTGAAAATAGCGAATTGAAGGGTCGTGGTCGTGGCTGTTTGATGCCACAACTCGTCGACATCGCCACTCAGATTGCTTCTGGAATGAAGTATTTGGAAGATAAAAATTTCATACATCGTGATCTGGCGGCCAGAAATATTCTCATGTCGCATTCGTTGTCAGTTAAAATCGCCGATTTCGGTCTGGCACGTTTGATGCGAGAACATGAATACGAGGCGCGTGTGGGTGCACGTTTCCCTATCAAAGTAACTTTTTACTATTGTTTTATTACTGTTATTCATTATTATTTTGTTATTATTTTTTATTACTTATTGTTTCCACAATTGTCCGTTACAATTGCTATTGTCATCTATTATTATTGTTCTTATTATTATTATTTGTTATTGTTCTGTTATTCCTATCGTTATTTCTATTACTCACTGTTATTGTGATGTTTTATTCATTTTTTTCAGTGGACAGCGCCCGAGGCGGCCAATTATAACCGTTTCACTATCAAGTCCGACGTCTGGAGCTATGGAATACTCCTCATAGAGCTGGTCACATACGGGCGATTACCATATCCAGGTATAATTTAATGACCACTGACTGCAACTTTATCTTTCTGCGTGTGAGCTGCTCACACGCGGCTAGCGATTACCGTATCTTTATCTTTTAGCAGTCAATAAAAACTAATGATAAACTGGCTTCTAGGTATGACGAATGCGGAGGTTTTGCAACAAGTGGAGAATGGCTACCGTATGCCGTGCCCACCGGGCTGTCCGGCTGCGTTGTACGATATAATGTTGCAGTGTTGGCAGAAAGAACCCGAGAAGAGACCCACATTCGACACGCTTCAGTGGAAACTGGAGGATTTATTCGCATCCGATCCAAGTGAATACAAAGAAGCCATTATCGCGTTTTGAACGATAGAACGTTGTGTATGATAAAATTGACGTGCTTTTGAGATGTTCACCATTATAATATATGATATGTATGTGATGTTTGTGTGTAATTGTGTGTTACAGATTTGTGCAAAATGTTTTTGTGCATTCAGCAAAGTAAAAATATTTACTTTAGTTCGTGCTCAAATAGAACACAAAATTAATTCACAAAGGTACCATATGAGAACAATGGTACTACCATGATTGCATGCATTTATTCCTCTATCCCATTTATTCCTACATTGATGGCTTATCGACGACAAGCAAAATTCCTCTGAAGTTCACCGAGGTTCATTAGATCGTATCTCTCTGGTTTCCTGTTTTTTCATTTTTCCGATCCAAACGTGAAATCGAAATCGTCTCCGAAAACAGTGTTACAAATGAGATTATTAACGGTCATTTCATCTTGTGGCGAAATGACCGTTACTTTCAACAACAAGTCGTCAATAGTTCGCATGGCACTTTGAAAATCCACGAATAAAACAGGTGATGTGGAGATCTGATTAATTTTGTTGAAAAAAAGGAGCTTCTTCGGGATTCTGCATGATTCCTGCCGATTAATTTCTTATCATCGAACTAACAAAGCACCGGAAAACTGACTGACATCTCAACGGAAGCACACAACATTCCCGTCGACATTCATCAACATTCAAAGTTTCTCCACACCAACAACCAACATTTCTTCAACCTCATCTGATTTCAAATGGAACGGAAATCCGGTCACTCTCATCTGTGATTGATCAGAAAAATACTTCTTTTACAGGATATTCACGGCAAATCATCGCTGTCAAAATTATAATTTGCC